GCCGCTTTCATTTTTTATCTGTACAGGGTGATAAAAAAAACTAAAAAACTGTACAACTTTTTTTCTGAATATCTCGAATAAAATTTTACTAGAATTTTGTAATTTGGAATAGATAATATTCACTCAAAAAGGAATTTGTTTGGCATAAAATTCACTAAGAAGAAACTTATTTTCAAAAACGAAAATGCAAAATGTACAAATTTGAAAGATCTTGCAAAGAAAGCCAAGGAATTATTGTTTTCTTTTTTCCTTTTCTTTTATTTAAAAAATCTAATCTTTCCATTCATGAAACCTTTGAATAACATTTCTTTTCTCTTAGAGAGTTTTAAAAGATATTTTTCAAATTCTGAAATTCCGAGAACCAATGGTCTATATGTCCTCCTTTGAACTCGACACATTTTAACGCGTCGTTCGTAATGTTCAGTGGAGGCCAATCACAAGGATCCACTCAACCATGAGTAATAAAAGCCACCTAATACATGGTACACTTTACAGTATGGAGCTGTTTCAAGGGGCAATTGTGGGGAGTGGAGTTAATATAACATGAAATGAGGATATGGGCTTTATCAAGGAACCAAATGTCAAAGAGAAAATGTTAACGCTTTTCAAACAATCGAAGAATCATGAACACATTGCTATCCTCAGATAGCTTCGCCAACGGGAAAATGGTTAGCGGTAGATGAATGTATCTGCCTTGAGAAAGCGGACCGTTAAAAAGTAGGAAAGTCATTGTGGAGACATCGTCTACTGACAGACGTCTCATGGGGCTCATCTACTGAATTCTGCACCCTGGCGAGGTATAAATGGGTGCTAAAGGTGTGTGTTTGACCTGAAGTGCTTGTTTTGTCTGGGAATGTTTAGTTCTGATTCAGTACTGGTAGTAACTGACAGACCATTTTCACCCTTGACATCAAAGAAGGCCTTAAGGGCACTTTAACATTATTTCCGTTCCTTGTGCGAAACTTACGAAATGAGTTGTGGTGAGGAAAAGTTCAATACAGACAGCTGTCTGCTCTCTACTAATCTTAACCATGATTGCAGCAGGCAACAGAAACTTGAGAAAAACTATTTGCAAACTACTGTTAGACTACTGCAGTTTGCAATATGGCGCAATCGTTGGGATTTTTAGTGATATGCCTAATGCGAACTAGTGCGTCATTCTACAAAAATGGGGACATAACTGAAAAGGGGTTGTTTTATTTACGCCTTTGCAGAGCAAAAAACTAGTCTGCAGATTGATCTAAAATTAATATCAGACAAATTCCTTTGGGCTTTCAAATATAGTGTACAAATTT